CCCCTAGGCAGTCGCCCATCGTAATGTCCACTTCGGTTGCAAGACGCACCTCAGTCCCCATCGAAAATCCTGCCTACGGGCCTGTAAGATAACCCAAATCACACCTCTCCTTCCCCATGACTGCCAGAAAAACGGAAACTAATGTTTTCTCTTCATTCTTATTTATGATCATAAATGTTGTCATGTGACAGCTTAGTAACAATACCAGTTTTTCTCTTTGTTACAAATACATTTTTGTAATCGTTTTATTTGGTCTTTACGAGAGGTGGGCTGGTGGTCGCTCGTAGTAATGATGAAGGTGGTCATAATGAGTGCGTCTAACACAGACTGACGTCACATTATAGTTGAATCTGGAAATGAAAATGTGTGAATTTCTGCCACAAACCCAACTCTATGAGGGTTAATACACTTTTTAATCGGCTAAATTGTGAACCAATGACTTTTTACTGTAGGCTACAGTCCAAAATCCTCGATTGTCGTAGCGTGGTTTCGTCAGAGGAGAAAATATGGATATGGTAAATCCTTCGATTTACTGCTTTTTAAGTTTTAATGAGACTAAAACAATCGGACCTACGTTAAATACTTTATTTATGATGGAGCTAAAAATGTAAGGGGAATGTTTCAGTTCTTAATCAATTGATGTCTGTATTTAGTCATTCGCCATTACAGTATATTTAATTGCATTACTTCCGATCTTAAATCATCAGGGTATTTTACCTTTAGAGAGACGCATAGAGTTCTGTAAGTGCAAGATGTGTATTAGGAGAAGACTTATTTCTACCAACTGACCACCTGGCTGAGAAGACCTCAAACCTGTGCAGATGTTAAAGCTGTAGAATATGCTATAGTGGTGTTAATTTTTGTACAAGTATTATTGATATTGATGATATCAACGATTAGCTGCTTAATGCTCAGTCACTTGACTTACCCAAAACAATAATACAAATAACATTTATAATATTAAATTAAGATTCAATTTTAATTGTCCAATATGTCAATAGACTTTTTCGGGTCATTGAAATTTATTAAAAAAATAAAAAATTATACAAAAAATGGTAAGTGAAATACTAAAACAAGAATAACTCCAAACATAAGATAAAATAATGCAGTACTGTAATTTATAAAATTTATTAATCATAAAATAATAAAGTTGATGTTAATTGGATACAAATAAAATACTAAAAAATATACACATTATCAGTTTGCTGTGTTTCAATCATTACAAAAATACAGTATATGAAAGTTCTCCTGTATATGGTAATTTACACTCTTCTTTGGATATTTCAAAATCATAATCTGTTTTGAAAAATGAATAATCATAAGCAAAAATCATAACCATAGGTTGGCGTGTTCTTTTGGAATTTTTGGTTCATTCATGCCATAGCATCCACTCTCTTCCAATTCAGCCTCTCACAATTACTATTGCTAAATGTGATTGATTTGTTGACTGGTTTGAGATCTCATTTGTTTGATCCATGTGTAGGCATTTTGGTCTTCCTGTTTCCTTTTGCTTTTTTGATAATTATGATCTTTAGTTTGAATGCTTTTTTTTGGCAATCCCAGCAGTGTTCTAGCCTTCTTTTGAGAAATCACACTACACAGCAGAAACAAGTAAGTTCTATATCAAGTGAACACAAGGTGTTACAAAAACTCTGATCAAAACTGAGTCATATATATATAATTATATAGTTTATTTCAAATTATGTAATAGATAAATTGTACATAATTACCTAAGTTGTATAAATTTAAAAAAAATAAATTTTTTTCATTGTTATAGGACAATTGTTATCCATGTCATATCTACAACACCTACCAATGTCAAAGATCTACTCGTGTTTTCGATATCCGTGAGTATCATGCAGATATAAGAAATTATGTCAGAAGGCTGCCATATTGGATATCAAAATATTTGGTTTTTTTTCCATATTTACATATGTAAAGTACCAGCACTGTGAATCAAGATTGTGTATGTATAATTAGGGATATCATGCAATCATCATGATATCATAACTATAAGACCTGCCTATGGCAGTAAACTAACACCATTTAGAAAGAAGTCCGACAACTGCTACGTTGGATTTCAGAATGATTGCCAATTAAGAAAGGTACATGAAAGAAATTGAAATTTAAAAGGAATAACAAATTGGTAATCAATCAAAAGTAATGAAAATAAAAAAATAAGCAAATAACTGCTTTGTATGGTATGAGAGCAAGTGCAGAGGGAGAGAGATAGATGCAGATATTAAACATCGTTTATATTAAAGCTAGTTTTAGCATAAATGAAATCATGTAAACATAAATTAAATATTACATTCAAGTAAATGGTGTGAAGACACTAATATTAAATAGACCTCATGTCTATGAGATGGCTAATTATCATTTTCAAATGATATAGACATATGTAAATATTTAAAGGGAAAGAAACGGAAAAGAAATTTAAAGAAAGGAAAAGAAAGAACAGAAAGGAAAAACCGGAAAGGGAAAAGAAATAAAAAAGAATACAAAATGAGTATAATGGAGAAAGTTTAGCATAAATGATTGATTGATTGATTGATTGATTTTATTCAGTGCCATTACATACAAAAAAATACAAAGCAAACAAAAACAGGGAAGACAAGGACAAGATACCAAGAATGACCCAAGAAAGGTAAAAAAGAAACCTTATTTCCGTTATTTTAACAAGTGAATACAAAACACAAAATTAAAAAAACAGCAGGATAAAAAACAGGAAAACTGAACAAAGAGGGGAAAAATGAACTATAAAAGAAAGAAGTGTTAAAATTCAAATTGAAAGAATAAAACCATAAAAAGAGTTCGACAAGTTAAAAAATTTGAAAGCTAATAAAGATTTAAAGAATTAGACAAGTTAAACATTTTCAAGAGTAACAACTTCAAAACTGAATAGGATTAAAATAATAAAAAAGTTACCATTAAGCAAACTTTTAGATATTATAAAATTAAAGAGTTTAAAATTGTTAAGATTAAAATGATAAAAATGTTACCAGCTTAAGCAAATACACTTGGATACCATTTAAAATGAAATTAAATATCACATTCAAGTTAATGGTATGAAGACAATAATATCGAATATAATATATATATATATATGTATATATATATATGTATATATATATATATATATATATATATATATA